TATTAATTAAACAAAAAATAATGAGCCTTTTAATTGGTTTGGTTCTTATATTTTAAGTTTACTGGTATATTTTATAGAAAATTTCTTTCATAGAAAGGATAATATGAAGATTACAGGTAGTTGTGAAAAATTCATTTTACCTGGTTTCACCTATATATTGTTAATTGTAGATTAATTATTCTTAGAAAATTATATGACAGTATTAAAGTTCAATCCATTCCCCAAACATTGATATATAATATGTGCCACTTTGATGATGTTTAGGTACTTAATTAGCATGTTCTAAATATAATGGTCAGTCATTTCAAGTCATTCAAAATGGCTTCAGGGGGCAGCCAGATAAACACTCTAGGGAAATCGCAAATGCGTCAAATGGTGGCAACAGGGGGAAAAGAGTTAAATCAATAAATTATAAATAAATTAAAATATTTTTTATTTAATATTTAACAAATTTCTTATTTGGATATAACAAATTACGGATATAGCCAGTTTTTGAAACTCACTGTGAATTTATAGCTAGGCATGCAGGGCTGACTGAAAGTTGTCAGCCATGCCAAAAATGAATTAGCTCAAAAAAAAAAAAAAAAAAAAAAACAATTGTCTTTTATAAGTTCGTTTTAGCAATATACATGTAATGTGAATGGTGCAAGCTAATACATATATTCTATCCCTAACCAGTATGCTGGTGAATTCTGCCCATTTGCTTGTTTTCTCTCTGCAACCAGGGACATATGTTGATTTGAGAGAGTTATATTAAATACCGTATAGCCGTTTTTTTTGACGGGACACAAATTTGGCGATTTTAGGTTGTTAAGATATATCATTAATTTTGGTGGATAATATTTTGGTGAATTCAAATTTATTACCATTAAGTCGCAGGTTAAAAAAGCGCTCTTGTTACGATTGCACACCCTCCCAAACTTGCCAAAGTGTCGGGAAATCATCGGAAATACGCAGATACCGGTACTATTGTTAAATCACACGCCAAATATGAAAATTCAGATGTAGTTCTTATTTGAAATGCATAAATAATGTAAAGAACATTTTTAAAGAAGTAAAATATTTGTATTAAATTGAAAACGAAAGTAGGACACGAACTTATTTTTTCCGTAGCTAAGTTTGCTTGTTTAGCAAGCATGACACCTTTATAACTTGAGGGTCGATTGTCGATTATAGATTATAGAACTAAATATTTTTGTTTAATCAAAATAATGTCAGTATGGATAATTATATCTTTATTTATAACTATTTGTTGACTTATTTAATGGTGATAGCTCTACCGGTGATTTGCCATGACCATTCAAAAATGGGAAATTTACAAACACAAGGTGTGTAGGCTACAAATTTAGCGGTTTTTATTTTGGTGAATTTTTATAAATCGCCAAAATAGGCTAAAATTATATTCTTGCCAAAATAACCAGCTATACGGTATCTGAATTATAAGTTTTTGAAAAAAAATTGACACATCCAGCCGGGCGTCAATAAGTGCCAATCTGTCAGCCCTGACGAAATTTGTGCGTCTCGGGCAGTCGAGCCCACAGTTATTTCAAACACTGATATAGTGAAGTAACTCCAAAGGCCCAGTGACTTCTTTATAACTGAGTTTTACTGTATTGATGTAAATAGTTACAAATGGATAATTTTTGTACAAAAACAAACTGTAATGATACTGCAGTTGCGGACTTAATGATTGTACTGATGTTGAAAAAGAACATTATATTATAATCAGACTCAAGCTGTATTTTGGAGTAGCATTTTGACGCAGCACAGTTAAGGTTACAAGTGGAAATATTGGCGATTTTTTAAGATAAAAAATACATACTTTATTAGGATGGGCGAATCTTTTTTAGGAATTCACTGATATAAAAAAAATTTAATGTGCTTAAAATCTACATGTTGGGGACATTTAGATTTTTTATTTAGACTTGTGATGTGATTTCGATGTCACATGACTTTGGCAATTATACTTGCAGTTTTAGAGGTCATCTATAAATTTCAATATTACAAGGGCATAACCAAGTTAAAAATCTTAGTTTATTTTATAATCCTTTTCAACACTATATCATGTATATTTAGTTTGTGAAAAGTGCTTCGAACCTGTATAGATTCCCTTTTTTAATTGGTAAAATATAATTTGTTGGACGGCAGTTTGAATATTTTGCTGGTCAACTACATTAAATATAGCTATTATTAATTTATTTGCAAGATTTCAAGAGGTTCGCAGCACTTTTCAAATATCTTAATGCTGCTTAAGCTTATGTGTAAAATTTTGACAAGATACATTGAGAGTATGCCCTTGCAATAAATCGCCCTTGCAATAAATCAATTTATTAGGGCCCTTCCATTACTTTTTCAATGAATCTGCATAAAAAAAAAACACAAGATAGTATCGCTTGTCTTGAGAATGCATGTACTGTTAATAAATAAAATAGTAAAATAGACATCGCATCCAAGTTAACAGCTTTTTATTTTACTGCAAATATTTTTTTTTTTGAGAACAAAAGACATTTTTCAGTGTACAAAATGTGACTTGATCAGCCTCTAACTGTGTACAAACTACGTCATTTTTGCGAGATGACGTCACTTTGATAAGTGCATTGCGATTGATGCATCGTTTGTATACTGTTGTGTGGGATTTAACAAATGACAAAACTGCATGTAATAGTAAGTTTGTATGTAGTATACAGCTATCCAGCTGTTTGAAATAGCAAATAATTTCATTTTGTGGTATTTTGAAGGCCTTATATTATGTGTGACATCATAGTCAACATTTTCCGTACAAATTAGGCCCCGTCTCCTTACTGTAACCTTAACTGTGCTGGGGAGAGTATTTAACAGAAATTTCTATTTTTAGTAACCAAGGCAATAATGTTCATCGAAGTCAAAAACTGATATACAGAATTGTGTATCTTAGTGTAGTATACTTGTCTGCCAAGCTACAGTCAATTCTCGAATTATCGCCATTCGATTCATCGCCATTTTCGCAATACCGCCATGATTTCCCAAGAACATTTTTCCTGCTATGTAAAATTCTCTTATAACGCCAAATTTGCATACCGCCATCCGCCACCCTATTTTGACAACAAACGTCCATTTTTAAGTGTCAATTATCTCGATATACCGCCACAGGTGTGCGTGGTCAGTGAAGCGAGGCTAATTGGTTGACACTATCCTTGTTGTAAAGCATGCAAAGGCAGACAAGGTACATTGGTCAATCAACTATGAGGGCTGTTTAGAAATTATTGAGACAATTAAATTAATACTCCATAAAGGACATAGATAATTAAATGATAATTCATCAACATTTTATAAAGAACAAAATTTAATATAACACTTATGCAAAATTAATAATTCCTATGACAATAAGAAAAGTTTCGGTGAAATGATAAACACGCATATATATAATCATTTGATAATGACCCGGAGCAGCATCGCACTTTCACTTCCTTTTGCAAATTCATACATGATTATGAAACAAAAGATCATTATTTGTGTATTTAATTTTTAGCTCACCTCGACGAAGTCGAGATGAGCTTATGCTATACCCCCGGCGTTGGCGTCGGCGTCGGCGTCCCAGGTTAAAGTTTTATGAGCAAGTCCATTCCAAAGTAACTATAAGCCCTACCTGAACCAAACTTGCATGGATGATGCATCTAGGAATGTACACTACAAGACTTGCTTCGGATGCTGGATCTGGCCTACATTTTCAAGATGAGTGACCAGGTTAAAGTTTTTGGAGCAGGTTAAAGTTTTTGGAGCAGGTCCATTCCCAAGGAATTATAAGCCCTACCCAGACCAAACTTGCATGGATGATGCATCTAGGGATGTACACTACCAGACTTGCTTCGGATGCTGGATCTGACCTACATTTTCCAGATGAGTGACCAGGTTAAAGTTTTTGGAGCAGGTCCATTCCCAAGGAACTTTAAGCCCTACTCGAACCAAACTTGCATGGATGATGCATCTAGGGATGTACACTACCAAAATTGCTTTCGGATGCTGGATCTGACCTACATTTTCCAGATGAGTGACCAGGTTTAAGTTTTTGGAGCAGGTCCATTCCACAGGAACTGTAAGCCCTATTTGGACCAAACTTGCATGGATGATGCATCTAGGGATGTACACTACCAGACTTGCTTCGGATGCTGGATCTGACCTACATTTTCATTCCCAAGTAACTATAAGCCCTATTTGGACCAAACTTGAATGGATGATGCATATAGGGATGGACATTACCAGACTAGCTTTGGATGCTGGATCTGACCTATATTTACATTCCCAAGTATCTATAAGCCCTAGCTAAACTAAACTTGCATGGATGATGTATCTAGGGATGGACACTACCAGACTTGCTTCGGATGCTGGATCTGACCTACATTTTCATTCCCAAGTAACTATAAGCCCTATTTGGACCAAACTTGCATGGATGATGCATCTAGGGATGGACATTACCAGACTAGCTTTGGATGCTGGATCTGACCTATATTTACACTCCCAAGTATCTATAAGCCCTAGCTAAACTAAACTTGCATGGATGATGTATCTAGGGATGGACACTACCAGACTCGCTTCGGATGCTGGATCTGACCTACATTTTCATTCCCAAGTAACTATAAGCCCTATTTGGACCAAACTTGCATGGATGATGCATCTAGGGATGGACATTACCAGACTAGCTTCGGATGCTGGATCTGACCTATATTTTCCATACAAGAGACTTGGTTAAAGTTTTGGGAACAGATCAATCAGAATGAACTTGAAGACCTTGATATATGCAGTATTAACAGTTATGAATATTTGTTTACACTATACATATACATATTTTTCACGCTACAGGCTTAGAAATGTGTATATGCCATGTAAGGGGTTAAACACAACTTGCAAGAATATTGTTGTTGGGATGAATACTAAATATTAAGAAAATATGATGTGAGATTTGCATAACTTAAACTGATAACATTCGTCGAGGTGAGCTTCGTAATCTTTGATTACCTATGTTTATATTTGATTTTCTTTGTATGTTCCCTGTTACATAAAAGATTATCATTTGCATAAATTGCACAAAATGAATGAAGATGTATAATATTCCACAAAGAAAAGTTTTGTAAATATGTAATATTATAATTCACTGGAGATATTTGATTTTCTTCACTTGTCTGTTTAACCATTGAGAAACAAACAGATTGTCATTTGTATCTATACACAGTCCCATGGGTTTACTCAGTCCACAGTGTATGTAACGGAGGAACTGTCCATCCTGGTCTATGATGTGGACACAGTCATTGTTATAATCAGCTGTAAGGATGTGACTCTGACTGTCTGTGGTGATTCCTCGTGGACTGAATGGTTGGTTCTTTGGAGCAGGAGTATGTCCAGTGTACCTGAATCTCAGTTTCCCGGCCTGATTGACCACTACTACTGCTCTAGCTTCCTCATCAGACACACAGATATCCAGGTTCCTGTTCTCTGTTATGTATCTGTTATAATGACCAGATGAATAGAGAGGTTTACCTTTATCATCAAACTGAATGGTTTGTTTCTCTGTGGAGCCAGAGTAACGGACAACTTTTGTTTGTTTGTCATCATCACTGACCATGATAACCAGGAGGTCACCAGAGGAGGTACTACAGACACCCATAGGTTTCCAGTTCTGTAGTCTGATCACCTCCTCTATCTTCTCATTCTTCACAATGTTCACAGTGCTATCAATGTAATCAGTATAAACTAGATCTCCACTTTTTGTCACTGCTATGTCATATGGTGCGTACCCTGACTTGGTTCTGATTGACTTGAGTCGTGATCCCTGATTGATGCTGAAGAGTTTCATGGTGTTGCCATTTCCACATGTCCAGATTTTTTTATCACTCAGACAGGCCACATTTAGAAGGTATTCATCATACCCAGTGTCTATGGTGGTGACAGTCTCTGGTTGATCAAGCAGTTGTTTGACTGGAGGAGAGGATCCAGCTTCTGGTGATTTCTGTATTGTCTTCATGCTGTAGCCATGTTTATCTGAAGTTAAAGAACTTGATGATAAAGTTCCAAATAATTTACCAAGTTCTTCTCCAATTCTACCTGGAGTAAACTTTGGTAAAGAAGGTACTATTTTCTCTGGAAGATTTCTGTATCTGCTTAAGTCATATGTTACACTGAATAGTTTTGAAATATCATTTTCATTTACTATGACATCATTTGAATCAATTTCATCCTTGATGTCAGACATTGTCTTGTTAATTTCATCCAGATCTTTCTGTAGAGTTTGTAAATGTGTGTTTTTCATCTCATCAACTTCAGCTTTAAGTTTCTGGACAAGTTTGTCAATTTCTCTGTGCCAGTCCTCTCCATGCTTTGTTATGGCTGTTGAGAGATCTCCATATTTCTTTTGTAACTTACTCATTCTGTTTTGTACATCAGAGGCAATGTCCTGGTAGGTTGGATATATAGTCTCATTTAATTCAGTTAGGTCTTTCATAATTTTGTTTTTTCTTTCATCCAAAACTTGTAAAATTTTCAAAAATGTGTGACCTTTGTGTTGATCAGATGCAATGCAATTTATGCAGACAGGAATGTCACAGTGATTACAGTACATTTCACACCGTTCTTTAGCATGAAATGTGCATCCTGGGTATTTGGGAGTGGTTTTTCGAAGCTTGAATTTCACAATATCATGTTTCTTGGATTCATCAGAGATCATGTGTTCTCCCACACAGGCCTTACATAGGTTGACAAGACATGTATCACAGTGCATCTGTACCACAGCAGTCTCACACAGGTCGCATCTCATCACGTCCTGGGCACTGGTATGGGGGTCCATGATTAAATGTGGATCTGAAATAGATAAACATGAGTATAATAGAATAATCATTATTTATTTACCTGTATCAGGGTCATTTTTTTTGGGGGGGGGGGGGGGGGCTATAGCCTACATCTGTTAGTTCTAATCACTGCACATATTTATTAAACATAATTAAAGATTCTCTTTAGGTATTGTTGATTCTGATTTTTACTGTGTTTATATATTATACACATGCGTCTGTTTCAAGTAAACTCTCACTTAAACTACTGGAAGATATTAAAAGTTGTAGTCCTTTTTTCTGTAAAAACCGTCATTGTACACTGTTATAATTGGAAAACACTTACTAGTATTCACCCTGCCTAAAAGTATAAACTGTGTTGTTTGTAAAAAGTGCACAAATAAATCTAATCGGAGAACCCTCAAGGGAAAGATAAACGAAGTACGGAGGACTGAGTTAGCGCGTATTACGGGAGGAATTTAAGGTCACAGGGGATGACCACACTGCACAAAATGCACCCTCGATATGAATGGGGGAAGCTTCAGACTTATGGGGGCAATGTTGACGTTAAAACATTTTACATCGGCACAAAGTCAAACAAATGTGCTATTTGCAGATCCCGTAAAAAGTCACTGAAAACTGTTTCTAAGAAAGTGGACAAGTTGTCCTAACTTCGGACAAGTATTTCTTAAACATAATGTTATATTGCACAAAAAAGCACATGTATGCCCCTCTCACTTGTCCAATGAACGCATCTATCAATATTCCGCATACATATATTTGTTGGAACACTCAGTTTTTTTGCAAAATTATATGCTATTGATAATCAATTCTACGTGTAAAAAACTTTAATGAAATTATTATCGCTTTAGAATTAAAATAATTATCCCTTGAGAAATAAGCTAGGTTACTGTAAAATCTTAAAAATACTTTCCTAGTCCTAAAAATACCATCTTTTGTAAGACATTATATTTACAGACCTTATCATTGTGTTTACATTTTATTTCAACGAATTTCAAAAATAATTATTTTATTGATATACTCGTTTTAAAGCTAAGCAGTAAAAACAAAACCTAAACCTGCCAATATTATTACATAATATTATTGTCGGCCCCAAGCCCGAAGAAAAGGTGAGGGCTTTATAAGATTGTTTAGTTATTCAATAAGATATCACTTAAAAACTATATTTAGTACACGTCGAACACTCGATAATATATTCACACTATTCGCATGCTTGATTGATGCTCTGCCTCCTTATTCCAATACATGTAATACAATGACCTACATAGCCGCAATGGCGAAGTTGAGATTTTGCACTGATGTATGCAACTTTATTTCATTGATTTTATGTATATATTGAGAGTCTCTCTATCAAAAAAGATTTTGAAGTGTTTGTATTCATACCATACTTGTACATTTTAGCTGAAATATGTCAATGTTCTGATTTGAAAAGGCAAAAATCCGTGTTTAAAAAGGGGCCAGATCGCAATGTTATGAAGAGTCATTCTTTGAAGGCATTCTCTGGTACATGAAGAGGAGTGAAAAAATGTTTGATTTGGAAATATCAAACAACAATCAAAATACATTTCAAAAGACAGTCCTATATAACTCCCCTTATACTACATTGAGTCATTGATGTCCTTTAAATTATTAAGTAGTTTTTACAATGGGGCCATATGAGATTGAAAACTTTTAGCATCACAAAATTAAAAAAAAAAGTTATAAATTCACACAGACAACCACAAAATGCATACATTGTAAATAATACAAGCTCTTCTTTGGATCCATCATAATTGATTGCAGCTTGAAGAATTCCTTGGAGGGAGGAGGGGGTCAAACTAATTTACCCCTTATCTCAGATTACAAGAAAAGGACAAGATAGGGTAAGACCAGTATTTGGCCCCTAATTTTGGGTGTCTTTCAGAACGATCCAGCAGTTTATCCATGAAAACCTGTTTTCACCCCTGCCACAAAATGAGTACTGGTTTTAAGATTAAGAATAAACAGAGGTCACAGTGAGGTCAGGAAATAGGTCAATTTTCGAAATTTCTCATTTTTATGCAAATTTTTACTAATTTTACAGCACATTTTCTTTCGGAAAACATAGAGCACACGCTTGCCTATCTACCAAATTTATATATTTTATACACTGATATCAGATGCAGTATATGTGTAAAAATCTCAGATAGGCAAGCGTGTGCTCTATGTTTTCCGAAGAGAAATGTACCCAAAATATGATGAAAATCCACCAGAATTGAGGAAATTCAGGAAAATGTCCTATTTCTGAACCCTCTTGTGGCTTCCATGTAGCCTTTGAATCAAAATTAGTGCTTGTCTTAAAGTAAGCATCATTTTAACTTCTTAACTACAAACTATCACAGTTTTATCAGTGTTCTGATTTTTATATCAAAAATTCGGCTGTTACCCTATCTTGTCCTTTGTATAATGTTTTGCTTTCAAATAATATTAATTTAGAATTTTCAAACTATGCTAAAGGACCTGCATCATTATTGTCAGATTAATATAGATAGGAAGACCTACCTGGTTTCAGACAGTAATGGCGTCCTGTTGATCAAATTCCTCCCTAGTTATTTTGATCACGTGATATTTGTGTTATCTACCTGTCAGGTATTTTTACTTCCTGGTTTGTATGTACTGGGGAATTAAATTTGTCTATCTATAATGCATTTTCTAATGGAAAAATATTGCATATATTTGCCCCCATAAAAGTAAAATTTTGAAAACTTCCTGAAATGTGCTGAATTCAATAAATTGTATGAGAATTAATATAAATTAACTGAAAATATTATAGTGTCAAAGCAGTGTATTCACAATTTTTGTTTTTAGTTCGATATTCTATCTTTTTTCAGAAAGAGGACAAAATGGACAAAATTTCAACAATTTTAGCTTTAAAATTTATAGAGCGCAAGTTTGTTCAGGAACAATATTGACATATTTCATTGATATTATCATTCTACACATTATATAAAAATATTGTTCCTGAACATACATGCTCTAAGTGACTTTTACTCAAAATAACGTCGAAATCTGTACGTTTTTCTGTAAAATTCATAAAAAACTTAAATTTATGTCATGTTTGTGACGTCATTACGTACATATGGTGTCATTACTTACAAAAATATTCAGTGCTTTGAAGTCAGCATATACTCCACTGTTTTAGAACTTAATTAAATATCTCCATCAAAGTTTGATTTGGGGGGCAAATATTGGTTATTACCAAATAAAGTTCTTTGGCAATATAAATACATTTTCCGATGAGAGTTATAGGTATACAGGCTCTTGAATAAATTTTTAAACAATTTTTATGTTGCATTATTTGTACATGTATATGGTACTTTAGATTCTTGTTCTTACTTCAATCATTTTATATCAATATAATGCTTGTATAGTGCATTGATGTTTCCTATCACTGCAAACACCAAAGATGGCATCTAATTTCATATCATGCTAATAAACATTGGTTAATGTAAGGCCAGATTAAAGGAATTTTGATTTCATAGCAGCTGCAGACATATATTTTTGGTGTTTTTTTTTTATTTTTTGGATAATACTTTTTGTTGAATAAAAATATCAACTTAGAAGACATTTTCTAAAATCTTCAAACAGTTCAAAGAACATCGATCAATCACGTTGACGATTGATTAATTGTATGTTATTTAACGTTCCTCTCAAGAATTTTTCACTCATATGGAGATGCCACCACCTGCCAGTGAAGGGCTACAAATTTTGTTGGATACTCTGCACCCAGGGCCATTGAGCAGTGAGGGATCTTTTTCATACCAACACATACCTTGTACTGCGACAGGGGACCTCAACATAATATGAAAATTGTTGCAATAGAAGATTTCAAGCTTCAAATTAAGACCTTTGGAATTCAAATGTTAAATTAAAGACTTACCCTTCCTGTCTGAGGAAAGGATATAATCCTTAAATTTTAGTGACTTGATCATTTAATCTTTATTTTTGATGGAGAGGATTTTACTACAACAGAATTTTTATTTTCTGGCGAGGCACAGATAACAGATATCTAGAGCTATTTTGAATATTTAAGTGTATGAAAAAAATTATTTATTTTGAATTATTAATTATGCTGTCACCTGCATATAGTTTTTTCATCTCCCAAGTTTTTTGGATCATTTTTTTTTAAACTGAGGCAGCTACTGACAGATAAGTTGATATTGCAGGTATTTCAACAGAAGTGTTAAAAGTCAGCATTTATACATGTATTAGGCTACATAAAATTGAAATTCTGGTTCTCAGGTCCACGCTCATCCATTTTGAGGTAGCTGCATTGCAAATTTTATTGTATTCTTGATAAAATAAGAAGTTGGTATTGCGGAAACCAATCCGATAAAAAAAATTCCCTCTTCATTTTTTTTGTAGTTTAGTATTCAAATATCATTTCTAATAGCCATTTTCAAAGGGATTTAGGCTACTTCATTTGAAAATACATTTGAGGATATTGCCTACAATATTCACTTTCTGATAAGCAATGGATAAAGCAGAACTTTTAATCAGACATGAAAAGTATATATGTGATTAAATAATATCTTTATATTAAAGAAAATTTGAAAATTAAAAAAGTACCTCCCTCATCTACTTTATTGCCAATAAAATGATAAATAAAATGCCGCCCTCCCACATCTGTTTGGTAAAAAAATGGCCTGAGAACCAGAGAATTAAATTGAGATAGCCTTACTGAAAGGAGCAAACCTACTTTGTCTTTGCTGGATATCCAGCTTAACCACCAAATTATAAGTCTTAGTGCACATAAGCATGACAAGGCCACATTTTTTTAAAATGTAAAAAAAATATATATTCATAATTAGCAATTTATTATATATCAGTATTTTAAAATAAAGTATCTATGATTATTTTGTAGATGGGGATTACTCCCAGGCTATAACTTATTACACACAGGCAATAGAGCTCAACCCGTACGTGGCGGCTTATTACGGCAACCGCAGCTTTGCTCATCTCCGGACGGAGAGTTTTGGTTACGCGCTGAGCGATGCCTCCAAAGCTTTACAGATCGACAGAAATTATGTCAAGGTATTGTATCAGACAGAAATTATGTCAAGGTATTGAATCAGACAGAAATTATGTCAAGGTATTGAATCAGACAGAAATTATGTCAAGGTATTGAATCAGACAGAAATTATGTCAAGGTATTGAATCAGACAGAAATTATGTCAAGGTATTGTATCAGACAGAAATTTAGCTGCAGATCTGTAGCTATCCGAAAAATATATATTGATAGACCGGATAGCTACAGTGCCACTCATTGAAAAAACTGTATATTTATTGCGCACAAAAAAGTGCGCTCGGTTCTAGATTATTTCTTCCAAATTCTTACCTCAATTGCAAAAGAGGGAAGATTTAAAAAGGTTTCTCTCTCCTCTATCAAGTACATTCGTAGTTGACATCTGAACGAAGCATATTGGACCGAATTATCTTTGAAACCAAAATGGCAGTATAAATTATCAAAATGTTCGATGATTACAATATCAGGGTCAGGAGGACTATTAAAAGCAGTAATGACGAATGTTTTGTTGTGGAAAGAGTCAAAGAATATGTTAGGAACACACGGTTTGTAATATTTTGAGATTACAGTTTTAGGAACATGGAGAAATAAATCGAAAACCGAGCGCACTTTTTTGTGCGCAATAAATATACAATTTTTTCAATGGGTGGCACTGTAGCTATCCGGTCTATCAATGTATATTTTTTCGGATAGCTACAGATCTGCAGCTAACAGAAATTATGTCAAGGTATTGTATCAGACAGAAATTATGTCAAGGTATTGTATCAGACAGAAATTATGTCAAGGTATTGTACCACTGTCTTTTAAGATCTTTGTCTCAATTGAGAGTGTCTGAAGTTTACTCAAAATACATGCTGAATCATGCTTGATTTCATCTTTTCACAGGCTTACTATAGACGGGCGTCTGCCAATATGGCTCTGGGGAAGTTCAAAGTTGCTCTCAAAGATTTTGAATCAGTAAGAATTGTATCTATGGCCTAATCAAACTACTCAAATCTCTATGAAACTTGTTAGGGTTAATTTCCCAAAATTCACTAGTAGAGCACTTGCTTTGTGTGAAAGAGATCTTATGTTCAAACCCAAGGAGAGGCAAATTATATACTGTAAAATTTATTATAAATTATATTGATTTCTCAATCCAAGTTATACAATTTCTTGTATTTAATTGAAATGTTTCTACATTTAGGTGATAAAAGTGCGGCCGAATGACAAAGATGCGAAAGCTAAGTACAGCGAGTGTAAGAAAATTGTCCAGATGCAGGCTTTTCAGAAAGCGATAGCCGTGGAGGAAAATCACAAATCAGTGGCCGACAGCATCGATCTGGGCTCCATGAGTACGTATTTTTATGTACACCATAGATGTACAGTGTACATTGTATACTATTGTCTGATATCAGACAGCATTGGTCTGACCTCTATGGTACGTATTTGTATGTATACCATGTATATACATTGTATACTATTGTCTGGTATTTGTATGTACTATACAAACTATTTTCTGCACACAGATGTGTACAATTTGATCTGGCCAAGTGAGAGCATATTTCTATGCATGAAATATCTATTTTTGTTTGTATACATCTCTCTATGAAAGACATAGTCTATAAATCTCTATTTTCTGAGAAGAATAATTCAAGAATATGAGGTTTCTGGAAAATTCTGTTCAAAAAGAAACGAAAATGAATCCCCCAAAAATAAAAGTGATTTTTCCAAACATGTTTGAATCCAGTGCACCATATTTTGTAATAACTGACCTATACCTTTACAGGTATAGAGGATGATTACCAGGGGCCTCGATTCGAGGACGGCAAGGTGACGCTACAGTTTGTCAAGGATCTCATGCAAACCTTCAAGGAACAAAAGAAACTCCACAGAAAATATGCTTATCAGGTTGGAATTTATATGAAACTGAAACATTATCTTACATTTTTGACATTTTTCAATGATTCTTAGAGAAATAATAAATCTTGATGTCTTAGGAGAATGTGTTTTTATTTCTGAAAGGTTTATTATGACTTTTAATATTGTCAGTGAGTTATGGTCTTTTCTACATTATAGATGTTGACTAATTTTATTTTGAATAGATTCTAGTCGAAGTAAAAAAGTTCTTTGTAAAACAACCAAGTCTAGTGGATATTACAGTGCCAAAGGTAAGATTTATCGTTTAAATATTTATTATCATTTAAATGAAAGAAAGTCTAAAATATTAGAAAAACTTGATTTTTTCTCTATTTTCAGGGGGAGAAGTTTACAGTATGTGGAGATATTCATGGTCAATTCTACGACTTGTTAAATATATTTGATCTCAATGGTCTACCCTCAGAAGAAAACCCTTATGTATCCTTCATTATTCCAGTTTACCAATCCAAAACATCTCACTTACTTCACAGAGTTGAAATACATAACTATGGAATCCTTAGAAATTTCAGTTTTGTCAGCCTTTTATATTAATGTTTTATTGCTCTTTTGAAACAAGTATCAATTTGTTTTTAACTTTATTGCTTTCTTAAGCCTTTAATTATAAGCCTGATACCCTTGACTGTATGTAGTTATTTAACGGTGACTTTGTGGATCGAGGGTCCTTCTCAGTGGAGTGTGTCATTGTCTTGTTTTGTTTTAAACTTTTATTTCCCAATCATTTTTTCATGGCCAGAGGTAAGCTCACATTTCTAGCTATCAATAAGTTTTATTGGTTGAGATATTCTTGCTTTTTAGCTATTTTTGTGAATAAAAACATGACAATGAAAACAAGCAAATTCAAAGAATTGTGGTCCCCAGCTTTCGGTATTTTTGTTGTGAGATGTCATTTGTTTTTGGCATATTGTGTCTAATATGAACACCCTATCATATGTCATTTATTTAGAAATTATCACTGAATGTCAAGGTCAATGTTCTTGGTATAGAATGAAAAGTCTTCTCGCAAGGATTACATATGTAAAGTATAAAAGTCCTAGCCCTTACCATTCAAAAGTTATGGTCAAGGTTAAAGTTTTTTCATAAGAACAAAAAATATCCAAGGTCAAGGTCAAAAGGTCTAGGTTGTTGATATCAAATGAAAGGTCTTGCCACAAAGAATACATATGTGAAAAATAAAAGTCCTACTATCTACTGTTCAAAAGGTGTGGCCAAGTCAATGTATTTGAAAAGTAGGTCAAACTCCAAGGTCAAGGTCAAAGGGTCATTGTTCTTGGTGTCCAATGAAAGGTCTTCTCTGATTAATTATACATATGAAGTATAAAAGTTATTGGCAAGGTTAAAGTTTTTTTCATAAGTATGGAAATCTCCAAGGTGAAGGTCAAAAGGTCAAAGTTCTTGGTATCAAATGAAAGGTTTTGTCACAAAGAATATATATGTCAAATATGAAAATCTTAATATTTTTTACCATAAAAAAGTTATGGCCAACGTAAATTTTAGAATATTTGTGTAAAAGTGGGTCAAACTCCAAGGTCAAGGTCAAGTGGTCAAATTTGTGTTACCCAAAGAAAGGTCTTATCCACAGGCCTTTAGATCGCTTAGAAAAAAAAATTGAGGTGTTGAAAAAAAATAAAGGTATGGAACTCTTTTCATAGGGTACCTACTTTTGCCAATAAAATTCTTTTAAATCAAATGCTTTACAATTTTACTTTTTATCCATATCTATTCATATGTAAACAACCTTCATTACTACCAAATTTCATTCCGTAATTCCTTATACTTCTCGAGATATTCTGAAATCAATTCCAAAATTGACCTTAATTTTTTTACTCGACATCAGCTTGGGCCTTCGGAGGGCTACACTAATTTTTAAGCGGGAACGACGGGACAAATTTTCCCCGGAGTTTATTCTAAACTCAATGAATATTTGCTCATTTGCATTCGAGCTTTACATGGATTTTCTATAATTTGATCATATGGTCTTACTAAGTCACAAACAACATTTTAGCGGTCTAATTGTTTTGAAAATCGAAAGGTATATAATGCATTCCGGGAAAAAATCGTTTAATCATAGCTTCTTTTACATTCATAATCAACATGGCGGTGTAGTTGTTAATGCAAACGTTTTCAAGTTCATTTTTCGCGAAAGGAATTAATACGGACTTAACTTACAATCCGGAGTAAGAAATCAACTTTAAAATGTTGAAAGATCTTGCAAATACTATGCAACCCTTAGCTGCGCTTCAAACACCGTCTGTTTACATGTGAATGGCAAGGGGCCCAAGCTAATGTCGAGTAAAGGAAAGTAGGTCATTCTTGAGATAGATTTCAGAATATCTCGAGAAAAATATGGAATTTCGGAATGAAATTTGGTTGAAATGAAGAATGTTTATCTGTGAATAAATTTAAATAGAAAGTAGAATTTTAGAGCATGTGAATAAAAAATATTTTATTAGTGCAATTTGGTAACCGGTGTAAGAGTTCAGTACCTTTATTTTTTTTTACACACAATTTTCTTTTTCAAGCGATCCAAAAGCCTGCGGTCTTATCACAAGGAATTTACATGTAAAATATGAAAGTCATAGCTCCACTAAATCAAAAGTTATGGACAATATGGACAAGGTTAAAGCTTTTGTGAAGGACGGACAGCTAGACAGACTGACGGACTGACAAATGAGATTTAATGTCCCCTCGCTTTCGCAAAAAACATTATTTTTACAAACTTTCAAATATTTTTCTCTCTAAGTTTGTGTAAATGTGTCTTTGTATGTTTTCAGGTAACCATGAGAGTATAACGATGAATCAGATGTATGGTTTTGAGGGAGAAGTAAAGTCCAAGTATCCTTTTCTGACAACCCCCACCAACTCTCAATTTATGTTATCTATCTAAATTCCAGTAATTGTTGTATGTAGATATATGTAAGTAAGTTGTTTTGCAGATGGAGTAAATATTTCAATGGATGATATAATCCTTAACCATTGTAGATATACGTCACAAATGGCCGATCTATTTACAGAGATATTCAACTGGCTACCATTAGCACACTGTATAAACAACAAAATTTTAGTAAGTCTACACTGCATAATCAGTTACAACATAGGGGCACAACACAAAACTTACTTATAACTTCTCATGAAATTGTGTCAATCTAAGGTCATGAAATTGTGTCAATCTAAGGTCACTTAAAAATATTTAAAAAGAGTACTTTGGGCCATTCCTTTGCTGTGTACAAACATTGGGGCTCCTATGAAATTTTTATATTTTGTTGGGGTTCAATAATTCTTGATTTCATGGGCACCCCTTACTCATGAATTTACAAACTGGAGAAATGTTGAGTTTAGAATCTTTATTTCTATTAAAACTTATTATTTCTCCTGCAAGATCCATTACCACAAACCTGTTTAGATCTAAATCCTCCCAAAATGTCTGTCTTGAATGAAAATAATACAATGTACTAAGAAAGACTGCATAGTACCTGATGATATGATAAGATCAAAACTGATTCAAGGTCAGCTGCCCAAGTTCAAGGTCACTATCAGAAAAAAAATGGAATTTGGTAGTTTATACCCAACACAAATGTTCATTGCATCCTGAAAATTAATCAAGATGAAGGGTAAGATTTCTTACAGTTTCTACAGATATTTGTTGTTTGTGAATGTAGGTTATGCACGGTGGTTTGTTTAAAGATGACAATGTGACTCTGGATGATCTCAGGAAAATCGACAGAAACAGACAGCCACCTGAATCAGGTACATTTCCATAGGTAACAGAGATGTAAGCATGCATCCCATGATGTATAAACTTGTTCATTTAAACAGAAGAAAACTTGTATTTATCAGGTTTAATGTGTGAGCTTCTGTGGTCCGATCCTCAACCAATGTCTGGTCGGGCCGAGAGTAAGCGTGGGGTGGGAACCATGTTTGGACCTGACGTCACGAGAAAGTTTCTGGAACGGAACAATTTGGTGTACGTTATACGAAGTCACGAGGTTAAGCCGGAGGGATATGAGGTCTCTCACGATGGGAAATGTATAACTGTCTTCTCAGCACCTAATTACTGGTAAGTTGTCTTCTCAGCACCTAATTGCCGGTAAGGTGTCCAGCACCTAATTACTGGTAAGTTGTCTTCTCAGCACCTAATTGCCGGTAAGGTGTCCAGCACCTAATTACTAGTAAGTTATGTTCTGGGCATCTAATTACTGGTAAGTTGTCTTCTCAGCACCTAATTACTGGTAAGTTGTCTTCTGGGCATCTAATTACTGGTAAGTTGTCTTCTCAGCACCTAATTACTTGTAAGTTGTCTTCTGGGCATCTAATTACTGGTAAGTTGTCTTCTCAGCACCATAGTTGCCAACTCACCCGATTTCGTCGGGTCACACCCGATTTTTCGACCCGTAACCCGATTATTTTTTATGACCCGGCGGGTCATGCTTATCACCCGATTTTTGCAGAACAACCCGAAAATCTCCCGATTTTCCGGATTTGGTTCGTAAATTAGGTTGCACTTTTAACTTCCAGTTACAACCCAAGCTTAGATCTACGTAAACAATGCCAATGGATTAATTATCAGTGCAGGTGTAAACAAATAACTGGGTGTTGTTTTGACAAATTCATGTTTGAAGTCAATTAAAATGGCTTCCGATAGAACTAGATCGTTATCAGGGCCAACAGGAACAAATTGAACCTAACACATGTCTCTGATTGAACCAAGAAAAAGAGAAACGATATTTTATTTATGTACATATCAAGTTATCTTGGAAAGAAAACTTTCATTCTAGATAAAATAAAGTGATCGAAGACAGTGTAGGCCTAACTTCACATTTAAAACATATTGCAGTAGTTACTTAATTAAGAGAGAGGAAAAATAACTTCAAACTGAAATTAATTGGTATACTTTCAAATTTAGCAGAAACTGAAAAGGCTTTCAAAAAAAAAAAATGCACACTTACTTCAGGTCAATACTGAAATATGAAACCTTCAATTTTCATTTTTAACATGTAAATTTAAATCAAATTATGTATGAATTTTTTGTAATTATAGTAAATTATATCCTTTTTCAATAAAAGAATTCTCAATACACAAATACTTTGTATATATATGTATGAAATTTAATCATGTTAAATATGTCGTGAATGTCGTTACGCGTTATGACCAGATTTTTTACTTTCCAAATCTGGTCATGACCAGATTTTTACATGCTGGAGGTTGGCAAGTATGCTCAGCACCTAATTACTGTTAAGTTGTCTTCTGGGCATCTAATTACTAGTAATTTGTCTTCTTGGCACCTAGTTACTGGATTTTGTGGAGGTCATCATGAAATACACTGGAATTTAATGTTTCTGAATTTTAGTATATTTCTTGAGAGAGAGTTTCAGGACATTGAAGTGTAATTACCTAACAGAAAACAAAATTCAGCAAAAACAGATTTTGTTCAACTAAAATAGGGAAATTTAAAATGCAAAAAGAGCAAGAGCCACTTTGGGCCTTATTTGGCCCTGAGAATTTTATTTATGAAAAATCAAAACCGCTCAATTTAGGTTCCAATGCAGTATTTATCACTTGGAGTGTTGGTGACCACGTATCTATTAATCGTGACGTAATTTCCCATCTAGTCAATGCATTATGACGTCATAAAATGTGTCATTTTCCTCATATCATGTAAATTCCTTTGAAAATGACCTAAAGTTAAAGCATTTTCTCATATTCTATATAGAGCACAACCTCTGATCCAAAATATGCAAATACAAAATGAAAGCTCTGTTTCTGACGACCAAAAAAAAATGTTTTATTTTTTGGATTGTAGGCTGTGCTCATATTTTAATTATTTGCTGAAGGTAGTCAAATATGCATGTTTTCTGCAAATCTCAAGAACATTGCAATATCTCAAACCTGTTTTCAATATTTGGATTTACAAAACGAAATTTAAATTATGGAAAATGATTACACCAAGTGCCTACTTTATTTTGATATATGAAAGAGGAAAGAGGGCGATAGTTGATATAAGTACAGGGCTATTTTATGCATAAGATGGCTCTTGCTCTTTATACAGAGATTAATAGCAAAACAATATATGGTGGGCATGTAATATAATCTTTGATATCATAACAATTATTTTCAAAAGTCTACTTTGGAGGCTGAAATTTCAAATATAAGGTATATGTATGGAAGGACAATATTTTACATTTTGAATTTACCTGTAATAGATAAATATCAATTTCTGTCGGTGAAAAGTGTTTTGTTGTTGACAGTGATACAATGGGGAACAAAGGGGCCTTTATGACCTTGAGAGGAGATGACCTTACACCTAAGTTTACATCATTTGATGCTGTGGTAAGTACACTCAATTATGTCATACATGCATAAATATGAGAACATTCTTGCTTCAGTAAAATATTCTGTAACTGCATGGACTAAAAATCAAGTTACTGAAATAATTACAAGAACGTGTTTTGGTTTTGGAAGGTTTTTCCATTATTTATATACATTCTTTCTGTTTCAGCCACACCCTAATGTTAAACCTATGGCCTATGCAAACAACCTGTTTGGATTGTTTTAATCTTCATAGAAGGAAAAGAACTGACCACCTGTAACTTATAAAGTACCTCATGGGTTTATCACTCAATGTCATAGAAACCATATAATCCACATTATGCACATTATAAATCAGTCTTTTAAAGACAGCATCATCAATGTGCAGGCATTGAACCTGAAGTAATTTAAAATTATAAAGATTAAGCTAAATTGAGAGTTAAGCGATCATTACAAGTAGAGGTCTTGGATAAATATAGTCCATCAAAGTTAACAGCTATATAAATGACCAGGACAAACTATTCTAGGTAAACCAGAAATAATTTGTTCAAAAACTCTCTGTTCATAGCTACATATTTGTGGCAGCTGATATTTTATTGTCAGGAAATGCAAGTTTTAATAAAATGATAAAAATCAATGATTTGTTTTATTTCACTTTGCTCTGTACAAGGCAGAATAAGTAAAATCAAAGAATTGTTGTCCCCCGCTTCTGGTGTCCCTGTGGGAGAGATGTCATTATATTTGGCACATTGTGTCAAATATGAAAATCCTATCATATGTCATTCAAAAATCACCGAAATTGATTTTTTAAATTAGGCAAAAACACAACATGCTTGGAAATATCTTACAACTAAAAATGTTTAAACCTGATGCCATGTCCCCGTTCTGTTTAAAAAGTTCCCCTTGGTACAAGGTAGGTTTGTGATGGTATTGCAACCAGATAGTGAACAATGCGGTAAAGCCCTGATGACATCTGCTTATGTCTGCGCTGTTGTAGTGTTGGCTATTGAAGATCTTCGAGCATCCTAGTCACAGTGCTGGTTATTCTATTTCCAGTAACACAGTGTGCTGCTCTCCTTTGTACTATTTCCAGTTCATACATGTAGATGTTTTTCTGGAGTGTTACTAAGACAAACTTTTTTCAATGCCAACTTCTTTCAGTAACATTTTTTTAGGTCACCTGAGTCACTCAGGTGACCTATTGCTATCCGTTTTCGTCCGTCATGCGTTAAGCTTCTTCTCTGAAACCACTGAACAAATTTCAACCAAATTTGGTAAACAGCATCTATGGTTGAAGGGGAGTAAAAACTTTGAATTTTATGGTCCCTGCCCCCTGGGGCCCGAGGGATGGGTCCAAAACTTCTAAAATTAATGAAATCTTTAAAAATATTCGTCTTTACTCCTGGACATCAAGCAGGCAAACTGTTGGCATGAACGTAATGAGCATCGAGTCCTCTACCAAAATTGAGAAATTCATGGCCCGAGGGTTAGGGGTTCTAGTGCTAGGGCGGGGCTATATAGATTAGATAGTGAAAATGCATTATTTCTTTGAAAATCTTCTTCTCTGCTCCTGGATATTAAATAAACTAATAATATAGTTATGATGAGCAAGAGTGTCTCTTTCAAAATCGTGAATTTTATGGCCCCAGGGTCAGGGGTTCTAGTGGTAGGCTGGGGCTCTATTCATTATATAGTGAAAATGCATAAGTTCTTTGAAAATCTCCTTCTCTGCTTCTAGGTGTTAAATAAACTAAAAAAAAAGTACATATTTATGATGACCAAGAACACCTCTTCCAAAATTGTGAATTTTATGGCCCCAGGGTCACGGGTTCTGGTGTTAGGACGAGCTCTAGATTGATTATATAGTGAAAATGTATTAAATCTTCAAAAATTCTTGTTTCCATTTAGGTATAAAATAAAACTAACTAAGTACACATTAGTTACGAAGAGTTTTGTTCATAAAAATGGTATTTTATTTTTAGCAAGATGTAATTTTAGCAATTTTAAATGTTTACTAAATAAAATGCAATAAATTTTTAGTGATATTAAATATTAGCAATCTCAACTCCCTTGCTAATAATGCCAACATTAAATTCTCACTAAAATTATTTCTGCTTATACGATATTTTTCATGCTGATCATTTTGGCTTTGATTTGCTGCGTAATTTAGCCTTCTGAAGAGTGATCTTTGTTGATAGAACCTGGAAGCAGTAATTCTCAATGTTTATTCATTGTCAAGTGCTGTGTTTATTTTAACAAATTGTAACAAAAAAAACAAAAATGTGTTTTTGAAACACTGATGCCCTTGTATTCCAGCTTATGATGGAGATTTAAATTTCTCAAATGCAAGTTTAAGTCCAAGGTAGATCAGGAGTTTAAAAAGGTCAAAATTGTTGGTATCTGAAGGAAGGGCTTGTCACAAGAAATACACATGTGAAATATGAGAGCCTTTGTTTTGCTTGTTTGTTTGTTTGTTTGGTTTTTTTTTTTTTTTGGGGGGGGGGGTTGAAAGTGGGTCTAATTCTTAGTTTAAGTCCAAAAGGTAAAAAAATATTTATACCCATTGAAAGATTTTGTCACAGTGATTACACATGTGAAGTATTACATCAACTGTCCAAAAATTATGGCCATGCAAGTTTAAAATTTAGTTTAATTTTTTGGTTTATAAAGTGAGTCAAACTCCAAGGTCTTGAGGTCAAATTTGGTGGTACCCGAAGAAAGGTCTTGTCACAAGGAATACACCTGTAAAATGTGAAAGCCATGGCCCCACCCACTCAAAAGTTATGGATAAGATTAAAGTTTTTGAGGACAAACAGACAGCTAGGCAGACAGATGGACTGGCTAAAAACTATCTATCCCCAAATTACTGGGGCATAAAAAGTGGCAATCATACTTATAATTTCTACCGACAAATTCCTAAATAGCAAATGTGCTTAATGACGTGAATCATAGTTTGCCAATTGATGTAAAGAAAACTAAGTAAAAAGAAAATAAAAAAAAGAAAATGCACAGCAATAAAATAATCATTAATGAATAAGAAACAAAAAGGTTGGATTTTTGACTTTTAATCATTAGCATTACAATTTTTTCATCCCATAAATTTTATTGTAAACATCTAAGGATCATTCTCAATTACTGGATAACATATATACCACACCCTATTGTAGCTAGCTCATAGCCCAAGTGCAATCACTGTAAGTGTGTGGGCCAAAAATATTAAGGTTTGGTCAATTAAACATTAAATTGACAAGTGGAAGAGGAAAAAAATCCTTCTTAGCACTGCATCTTACTGAAACGAATTAAATTGATGAGTTAACCACTGACAGTAAAACATGCCTATATCAAAGTGTCAGAGATAGGCAATTTTGATTTTTCAAAACGTTATTTAATTATTATAATCGTTAAGATAACAATTACATGTTTTTTAAAAAACAGTGGCAAGAAAGATAAGTAGCTGCAGAACAATAAAATTATTCTTTTATATTTTAGTCATTGACCATAATGCTATACAGATCCTGTTATGCAAAAAATGTGCAAGATTTTTGTGCATTGAAAGGAGATAATTTCTCCACTTTCCAGCATCGGTCAATCAACTACTTTCACTCCCTATGCAAATTCATAAATGATTATGAAACAAAAAAAAATATTTGTGTAGGTCAAGATATGGGATTTTAATTCTTATATTTGATTTTCTTTGTGTGTTCCCTGTTACGTAAAAGATTATCATTTGCATAAATTGCACAAAATGAATGAAGATGTATAATATATTCCACAAAGAAAAGTTTTGTAAATATGTAATGTTATAATTCAATTGAGATATTTGATTTTCTTCACTTGTCTGTTTAACCATTGAGCAACAAACAGATTGTCGTTTGTATCTATACACAGTCCATAGGGATCACTCAGTCCACAGTCTATGTAACGGAGGAACTGTCCATCCTGGTCTATGATGTGGACACAGTCATTGTTAATATCAGCTGTAAGGATGTGACTCTGACTGTCTGTGGCGATTCCTCGTGGACTGAATGGTTTGTTCTTTGGAGCAGGAGTATGTCCAGTGTACCTGAATCTCAGTTTCCCGGCCTGATTGACCACCACTACTGCTTCAGCTTTACAGTTAGACACACAGATATCCAGGTTCCTGTTCTCAGTTATGTATCTGTTATAATAATCAGATGAATAGAGAGGTTTACCTTTATCATCAAACTGAATGGTTTGTTTCTCTGTGGAGCCAGAGTAACGGACAACTTTTGTTTGTTTGTCATCATTATTGTACATGATAACCAGGAGGTCACCAGAGGAGGTACGACGGGCACATAGAGGTTTCCAGTTCTGTAATCTGATCACCTGCTCTATATTCTCATTCTTCACAATATTCACAGTTTTATCATTGTAATCAGTATAAACTAGATCTCCGCTCTTTGTCACTGCTATGTCAAATGGCTGTTTCCCTGACTTGGTTGTGATTGACTTGAGTAGTGATCCCTGATTGATGCTGTAGAGTTTCATGGTACTGTCATTTCCACTTGTCCAGATTTCTTCATCACTCAGACAAGCCACATTGTAAAGGTAACTGCTGAACCCAGTGTCTATGGTGGTGACAGTCTCTGGTTCATCAAGTAGCTGTTTGACTGGAGGAGAGGATCCAGCTTCTGGTGATTTCTGTGTTGTCTTCATGCTGTAGCCATGTTTATCTAAAGTTAAAGAACTTGATGATAAGGTTCCAAATAATTCACCAAGTTCTTCTCCAATTCTTCCTGGAGTAAATTTTGGTAAAGAAGGCACTATTTTCTCTGGAAGAATTCTATATCTGTTTATGTCATATGTTATACTGAATAGTTTTGAAGTATCATTTTCATTTACAATGACATCATTTGAATTGATTTCATCCTTGATGTCAGAAATGTTCTTGTTTATTTCATCGAGATGTTTTTGTAGAGTTTGTAAATGTGTGTTTTTCATTTCATCAACTTCAGCTTTAAGTTTCTGGACAAGTTTGTCAATTTCTCTGTGCCAGTTCTCTCCATGTTTTGTTATGGCTGTTGAGAGATCTCCATATTCCTTTTTTAACTGACTCATTCTGTTTTGTACATCAGAGGCAATGTCCTGGTAGGTTGGATAAAAATTCTCATTTAATTCAGTTAGGTCTTTCATAATTTTGTTTTTTCTTTCATCCAAAACTTGTAAAATTTTCAAAAATGTGTGGCCTTTGTGTTGATGAGATGCAACACAACTGATGCAGACAGGAATGTCACATTGAATACAGTACATTTCACATGGTTCCCTATGAAATGTGCATCCTGGGTATTTTGGAGTAGTTTTTCGAAGCTTGAATTTGACAATTTCATGTTTTTTTGATTCATCAGAAATCATGTGTTTTCCTACACAAGCCGTACACAGGTTGACAAGACATGTGTCACAGTGCATCTGTACCACAGCGGTCTTACACAGGTCACATCGCATCACGTCCTGGGCACTTCTACGGGGGTCCATAATTAAATGTGAATCTGAAATAGATATGTATATACAATGTATATAATTTTATAAATATGATCAGTATTATTTTAATATTGATGTGTCTCAATGTCATTTTGGAAAGTCTTAAGGTTACTGACAGAAAAAGAGTAAAAATTTTGGTATATTGTATTTTCCTCTAATGGATACAAAGTAACGAATATTGAAACTTCAATGATTTTTTTCTGAGGTAAAAATAAGGTATTCATGCAGGCATGGATCCAGGCGCCAAAAATAGGCAGGAGGTCTGGGGGCCGCCTTGAGGCCCTTAGTGGGTCCAGTGGGCGAAGCCTCCAGAAGCTCCTGGATTTTAGGGATTTTGTAGGGTAAAAATAAGGTCTACCAAGTAGACATATTTACATTTTCTAGACAAGACTGTGATTTACACTAACTTTAATAATTTAAGGGGGCGCACCCTGGGTGCAACCCCCCCGCCCTTGAATCCGCCATTGGTATTTTATAAATTACGTCTGATCATTCTTAGGTCGTTGACCATGCCAAAAAAGTGAAAATCACAGGTCTGGTGGAGGAAACCTTTGAATTGAGGTCTCTTGATGGTAGGCAGTGAGAAGATAAAAGTTAGATGATAAAAATTATCATCACTATTAAGGCCTTATTTAGAAGGCCTTCACTGGTACATGAAGAGGAGTGAAAATGTTCGATTGAATAATGTCAAACAATCAAAATACATTTTCAAAGAAAGTCGTATAACTCCCTGATGTCCTTTAAATTAACTACAAGTGGGGGATATGAGATATGGTAAATTTTTGAACATAACGAAATTTTAAGAATAAGTTATAAATTGACAACCACAAAATGCATACATTATATATAGTATACATTCAAACTCTTCTTTGGATACATCATAATTGAGTAGAGTTTAAAGAATCCTTTGGAGCGAGAAGGGGGTCAAACTAATTTACCCCTTTTCTCAGAATACAAGAAATATTGTGTCAATGTTATGCTTTCAAACTATGCTACAGGGCCTGCATCATTATTGTCAGATTAGTATAGATAGATTATATTAGAGAAGTTTATAATTATGTCCTACATGATTTCAGACAGTAATGGCGTCCTGTTGATCAAATTCCTCCTGGTTACTTTGATCACGTGGTATTTGTGTTACCTACCTGTCAGGTGTTTTACTTCCTGGTTTGTGTGTACTGGGGATTTAAATTTGTCCACCTAGCTTCTATGCATTTTCTAATGGAGAATCAATCAAATACATTTTAGGATCATCCCGATGATCTCGAGTTAAAGGTATACAGGCTCTTGAATAAATTTTATAACAGTTTTTATACTTACATCATTTGTACATGTATATGGTACTTTAGGTGTTGTTTTTACTTCAATTATTTTATATTTATTAATATAATGCTTAGTGCATTAATTTTTCTATCATTGCAAACACCAAATATCACTTCTAATTTTCATATCATGCTAATAAGCATTGGTATGTAAGGATTAAAGGAATTTTGATTTCTTAGCAGTCATAGGTATGTTTTGGTTTTTTTTATGGAAAATACTTTTTGTGAAAATATCAACTTGTAAAACCTTTTCTTAAAACTTCAATGAACTTTGAATCATATATATGATTAATTAATTGTATGCTGTTTAACGTCCCTCTCAAGAATTTTTTATGCATATATGGAGACACAACCACTTTCTGGTGGAGAGCTGCAAATTTTTTTTTATGCTTGGCACTCAATGCCATTGAGCAAGGAGGGATCTTTTTCATGCCAATATACCTACTGCGACAAGGGACCTTGGTTTCTATGGTTTCATCTGAAGGACCAGTGAATCACACTGAAAAAAATTGTTGCATTAGATTTCAAGCTTCAAATTTAGATTTTTTCGAAATAAAATTATAGATTAAAGAGTTATCCTTCCTGTCGGAGGATTGGATATCCTTAAATTTTAGTGCCTCAATCATTTAATATTTTTCTGACCTTTTCCAGAGGAATTTACTATTGTAGAATTTTTAATTTTTGGCAAGGCACAGATAACAGATATCTTTTTTGAGAAATATGTCTCAGTGGCTGGTTTTGCTAAAAAATATTTTGGACATTTATAAAGTTTATAAAAAAAAATTATTAATTTTAAAATATTCTGCTATCCCATGCATACAGTGTTTGCATCTCCCAACTTATCTGATACTCAAGAGCATGCTCTGAATACATTAATTCGTTTTTTAAACTGAGGCAGCAACTGACAGATAAGTTGAAGTTACATGTATTTCAACAGCCTCATTTAAACTCGGCATTAATGCTATTGAAAACATCAAACCTACATTGGCTTTGCTGGATATCCATCCATCGTCTCAAGCCACGGTCTGGAGTCTGCATATATAGTTCTCCTCTACCAGTGGCTGCTTGATCACAAAAATTGTCGTAATCTTGAATATTTACGCCTCTCTATTGTGACGTCGTATTCAGTCAATGACAAGTTTTGTTTCCATCGCAATTGAAATCAACAATTGACGTCAACAGTGTTCAGGAAAAATTTCCTTTACTGCGATTGGATATTGAAAGGTCGCGATAAAGTTCATCATCCAGCTACGCTTTACTCGCATTGGTCAATATTTTAATGAGCTAAAGAATTCTCTCCTCGTTCAACCACGGCCAGAATGGGAGAGGATCATACATTTTGGCCATGCTTTGCGACGTTGGATATCCATCATTATTATATGTGCATATAAGTGTATAAAACATGTCATTTATTAATAATTAACATTATATATTAACAATATTTTAAAATAAAGTATCTATAATTATTTTGTAGATGGAGATTACTCCCAGGCCATAACGTATTACACACAGGCAATAGAACTCAACCCATACGTGGCGGCTTATTACGGCAACCGCAGCTTTGCTCATCTCAGGACAGAGAGTTTTGGTTACGCGCTGAGTGACGCCTCCAAAGCTTTACAGATCGACAGAAATTATGTCAAGGTATCGTATCAGACAGAAATTATGTCAAGGTATTGTATCAGACAGAAATTATATATGTCAAGGTATCATATCAGACAGAAATTATGTCAAGGTATTGTATCAGACAGAAATTATGTCAAGGTATTGTATCAGACAGAAATTATATATGTCAAGGTATCATATCAGACAGAAATTATGTCAAGGTATTGTATCAGACAGAAATTATGTCAAGGTATTGTATCAGACAGAAATTATGTCAAGGTATTGTATCAGACAGAAATTATGTCAAGGTATTGTATCAGACAGAAATTATATATGTCAAGGTATCATATCAGACAGAAATTATGTCAAGGTATTGTATCAGACAGAAATTATGTCAAGGTATTGTATCAGACAGAAATTATGTCAAGGTATTGTATCAGACAGAAATTATGTCAAGCTATTGTATCACTGTCATTTAAGATCTTTGTTCTCAATTGAGAGTGTCTGAAGTTTAATCAAAATACATGCTGAATCATGCTTGATTTCATCTTTTCACAGGCTTACTATAGAAGGGCGTCTGCCAATATGGCACTGGGAAAGTTCAAAGTTGCTCTCAAAGATTACGAATCAGTAAGAATTGTATATAAGGCCTAATCAAATTATTCAAATTTCTTTGAAACTTAATTGTTAGGGTTAATTTCCCAAATTCAGTAGTAGAGCACTTGCTTTGTATGAAAGATTTAGAGGTCCTGTCATCAAACCCAGAGAGGGGCAAATTATTTACTGTAAAAAAAAAATCATATATTTTTTTATATTGATTATACAATTTCTTGTTTTTTTTTTAAATAAGAAATGTTTCTACAATTAGGTGATAAAAGTGCGACCAAATGACAAAGATGCAAAAGCTAAGTACAGCGAGTGTAAGAAAATTGTTCAGATGCAGGCTTTTCAGAGAGTGATAGCTGTGGAGAAAAATCACAAATCAGTGGCTGATAGCATTGATCTGAGCTCCATGAGTATGTATTTGTACTGATACCTGCATGTGTGTAGTATTTGTTATTCCTTTAAAAATGTGTCCTTATACAAACCTATATGAAAAAAGTCTTTAAAGGCAGAGATTTTAAGTATCGCCCTCAAAAATACCTGGTATGGATAGCCCTGTCAATCAAGTGCGTGAAGGTCCATCATTGGATGCTGGAACATGATTGACATTTACTTACTGGTCTCTGTGTATACCATGCATATGTACACCTTGTTTGGAACTTGTGGGGACCTTCTAATTAACTTCTGATCCTCTGATCTTAATTTACTAAACATGGTATACAGAATCTGTATTACTATGAGCATATTTAGATTGATTATATATGAATTAAATATACCTTTAGTATTTGAAAGGATTATAATATAATATGCTTTTTTTAAATATAAAACTAACCTTTGGTACAAAAACTTTTTTTTCAAATAAAATTTCGATATTAATTTTAATATGCTAAATGGTAAACCTAAAGTGGAAATGTTATTGATAAAGTTCAGAGCAGCACTCTGTGAAGTAATGAAAAAATTATATTGTTTCTAATCCTGGGTCACTTATATTTTCCTTTTTTAATTAGACAAAATTTACAAGCAATCTTTTAGCATGTTCATGGTCACAAAGCTTTATTAATATTTAGATAAACCTAGATATTTTTATTAGTGAAATGTAGTAAACATGGCTCTCTTTTCATTTAATTAATATAGATGGGATCCTGTGGATGAATGAATTTAGTCAATTTGGTTTTTACAGGAGTTGTTTTTTTTTAATTAACACATATGCTAACATCTAAATCAATTTTGTTTTAATATTTGAATTTATAGTAAAATATCATAATTTTTTTTAAAAATGGGATGGGATGTTTTCAAACAGCCAAAAATAAATCAATACATGTATATAATTGAAAAACCCTTTTACTACTAATTTTAAAATTATCTCAAAAATCCCCAACAAAGGTAAAGTTTGACACCTGGGGTATTTCACTGTGTATTAAATCACTTCCTGTGTATAGGGATTAGGAGACAGATGACAACAGGTAGACTGCTAGTCCTTAAGGCATTCACACCTGTACAAAATAAGCCCCTCCCTCACCTGGAATTTATCACCCGATAAAAATATCTCTGCCTTTAACATATTTAATGCTTTACTGAGCTGACATAAAGAAATCAATGTTTGACCGCTGAGTGAGATGTTGTACTGCTTATGTCACACAATGGGCGGAGCTTGATCTCATTTGCATTTCTTGGTGTTCAGCAGTGATGAACCTGAGGTGACATCACGGAAGACAGTACAAGATACATGTATATCAAAATAAAATGAATGGTATAACAAAACATTTACTGACTGTGTTCTGAAGCATAAAAATGCTTTTTGAATCTCAAACCAAACTATCTGTTTGGTTCTTGGGTACAACAAAATGCATGTTGTCCTTGAACTCAGTCATTAATGCATATTATTATCTGCACACATTAGTTGACAAAAGCTAACAAAGGTTAGATTGATGAACATGGATTCCAAATTAGGGTGAAAAATATTATGTGAAATTGTTCTATTATAGATCTTTAAGAACATTATGAACCTTTCGAAGTTATGAAATATATAGAGAATTAGCTGCAGATCTCTAGCTCTCCGAAAAAATATATATTGATAGACCGGAGAGCTACAGAGCATCCTAGTTAGAATAATCTAACTGTGTCTCGGTACAAGCCCTCACCACAGTTAGAATACGTCCCATATACTTGCAATGTAGCAATTCGGAGCGGATCCGCTCCGAAACGATTTTGAAGAATATATAATGATTTGCACTGGGAATAACTACCAAAATAATCAAAACAAACCTTTTTGAGATTGCTTATGCCTTTTATCCCAAAAATTAATCCATATAAATACGAAAATCCAATTAATTTTCTCAACGTTATTCTCTGGATTCAAATTACCTGCCATGTTTAAATTCGGAACTCTCTAGATTGTTCCTAGTAAATGCACTATGCGAGTTATCGCCCGTGTTTCTTTTGCTACATTAAGAATACACGGAACGAATTCTATCGTTAAAACCGGGTCCGTAGGACAATATCATTTTAACGATAAAACATTCTATCTACAGAGCATCCCATTGAAAAAACTGTACATTT